TTGCCTGTTTCCATGAACTCTATTCTGAACTTTCTTTTGCTTCTGAGTAAGACTTCGGGCATTTGTTAGTTCACTAAGTAGTGCCAAACAGCTTATATCTAATTCTTCATCACACTTTGCTGCATCTAATTCATTATTGTCATATTTTCCAGGTAATTTTCTTACTCTTCGTGGTCTGCCATTTTGGGTACTTCCAGAAGGCACTCCTTCATTATCCTTTTTATTATCTTCTTCACTATCATAATTCAAGAACTCTAGTACTTCTGGATATTTTCGAATTATATGGAAAACATTTTTGTTTCGATTGTACACACACATCACAAATTTTATCAACCTTTGATTTGGTAAACTCTAAAACATTAACTATATATAAATTTTTAATTTTTGAAATAGAACCATAATTCAAATGACCACACCTTTTGTGCCAAATATCTATATTTAGTGCTAAATTTGCAGATTCAATATTAGATTCAACATTGATTTTAAATATAATTTTATATAAATTATTAAGACGTTTACCTATTACAAAAACATTATTATCTTTTTTTATAAAGATCTTACCGTCATTACATACAACTTCAAAATCATGCCTGTTCAATGGTAGGTATAGACAACAAATTTGCTCTTAATTTTGGTACACAAAATACATATTTTAAAGTAATTTTCACATTTCTATTTTCCACTACACTTGTCACTTGTAAATCACCTATGCATGTTGCCTCCATACTTTTTTCTTTTTCTGCCAGTTGTATTTCTCTTCTTTCTGCAAATATTTTCTTGTTTATCAGTACCTCTTCATTGTTTATATAATGATGTGTAGCTCCCGACTCTGAATACCACTCTAAGATTAAATCGTCTACACTTTCAGATGTTGTACAGAAAGTAACAGCATTATCCTCTTCTCCATTACATTCATTCATAGCATAATTTGCCCTGTTTCCAATTTTTTGTTTGTCATTCACATTCTGCTTTTTGGCTAAACATTGACTTGCTCTTTGTCCCATCTTACCACAGTTGAAACATTTAATGCCACATACACTCTTCACATGCCCAATTTTTCCACACTTAAAGCATTTTACTTGCTTTTCTGTTGCACTAAAAGATGAAGGCAAAACTTTTGTGCTTCTTGAGTTTTTATTGGAATGAAATTCCAACAACCTACTTTTCACAAATTCTACTTTTAAATCATCTTCTGATAAAGTTCTTATGGCTGTGACTACATTTTCAAACTCTTGTGGCATTGACAATAATAGGAAACAAGACATATCAGATACATCAAATTTACTTCCCAGATTTTTAAGTTCTCTGAACAGTCGATCACATCTTAGGAAATGATCCTGAATATCTATGTCATTGGTGTATTTTAACGTTGTTAATTCTTTTAATAAATAGAACTTAGAACACGTATCTTTTTTATCAAAAATTCCTTCCAGTTTCTTTATCATATCATGAGCTATTTCCACTTCTTTGATGTATTCCAAATGCAAGTTAGCAATACTTTGAATAATTACCATACATGCTTTATTGTTTTTCTTATGCCATTCATCATTTCTATCAACCGCGGGAACCGGCTTCAAAGCTTCACTATATTCCAGGGCCTTCAATACTGAAAACAACCTAAATTTCCAGTTGTCAAAACTGTTTTCATTAAAATGTATTATACCATATTTGTTTTCGGTTGACTTCTCCATTTTCTGAACTTTTACAACCACGTGCCTTTACTAACCTCTTTTCACGTTTTTATCTTTTCTTAATCAACACACTCTTTGTACTTCTGGGCCCATAACCAATGTTATGGCCATAACCAATCTTCAATTATATTGAAGAATAGAAAATAAAAGAATGTGTAGATATTTTATTGTAATACCAAATAATATAGACGCTTACTATGGATATAATTTTGTGCAATTCTATTTTCTTTACTGACAAGTCCCTTGTGTTGCTGCAATATGGAAACGACTATTGATTTATATTGTTCAGGGCAACTTAAACCTTTTATCATATCTTCTTCTTTACAAATAAAATTATTTTTCATTATTTAATCATTATTCCTTGCTTCCAATTTTACGCACTCCACCTCGTAGGCATCCATCTGCTTAAAATTTACATTCCTTAAATATTCACTACAATTATTCTTTACATTCTTTTGGGACATCTCCCTATCATCAAAATACATTTTTTCTTCATAAAGATCATTACTTTCTTCTAATAATATCCTATCAACTCTTATTCCTTCTTCCACCTCATCTTTCTGCATAAACTTAATTATTTGCCCTTTCAAAGTTACCATTTTTTTTTTCAAAATCTATCTTTACTTTCTTCTTTTCCAATTCGTCAATTAAGAATATAAATTTTAAAATTGGCTAGTTGATTAGTTTCTCCCAACTTCTTCTTATTCGCACCAACAATTTTAATTTTTGGAATCGATTATATCTGATAGTTTTAATGTATAAAAAATAAAATTTTCCGAGACTAAAATATTTTCTGAACCAGTATCTATCATAACCTTAATCATTTTATTTTTGACCATAGCACTTATATAAATTAAATTAATAGATTCAATAATTTGATCTTCATCTAAAGAAATAAATTCAGAAGGTTTTTCATAATGACAATGGCCCAACTTGTAATTCAGAATGTTTACTGAACAAAATTTGGATTGTTAGAATTCTCAGATTGTGTCTGACCACTTAGATCTAATGCCCTGTGTCTTTCACTACTTTGACTTCTACTCATATTTTCTTGCCTTGTACTATTTCGTTCACCATCTTCGCAACTTCTATTCCTTCGTACATAATTTACCTGTCTGTTGTAATTAGGTCGTTCTGTATTTCTCCTATTGTTAAAATCTTGTCTATTATAATTAGTATTGTTAAAATTTTGTCTATTTTGATTATTGTTATTAAAATTTTGCAAATTATTACCACATCTATTATTATTATATGATTGTCTATATTGTTGATTATTATTATTATTATATTGAAAGTTATTATTGTTATGATTCATCTCAATATCATTGTTATCATTACTACCTGCCATATTACCTCTTTGTATTCTTTTAATAAAATTAATAAAACTCTCTATTGTTTGAATATTTTGTACAGTTACTGTTTGCACAACATCGGCATCAAAATGTCTAGAAACATTTAAGACTATTTCATCCTCTGTAAGTGGTGGTTGTCAATATTTTGCAACCGTTATCAGTTTTAAAGCATAATCTATCATATTTGATCTAAAATTGTGATTAAACTTTCCAAAATATAGAACTTTCCTAAATTTAGCTTGCTTCAATTCACTCCAATAATAATTTAAAAATTATTTTCAAATGTTTGAAAATTATCCAAATCATTTTCAATACTGGCAAACCAAATTGCCGCAGTGTCATTCTAATATAATCTTTAATATCATTAATATTATTCACTAATCTTAATTTATGTTTTAAACTATTTATGTATACTTTAGGATGCAAATTTTTTATATTACCACAGAATTTAATCCCAGTTTCATTTGTTAAATTTAAGTAAATATGTTTCTCATTTGTGAACCCTATGTCCCTCATTTGTGAAACATTATCTATTCTCTGTTCCACATTTCTTATTTGATTATTATTTATTTGAATATTTTGTTGCATATCATCTAATTTTTCTTCCGTCTTCGTTAATTTTTATTTCTAAGTAACATTTCTGCAACTTTATTTTCTGTTCTATATCTATCTTATTATCTTGAATAATCTTATTTACTTCTGTCCTCTCATTTTCTATCCTTTTCTTGTAGTTATGCCGTATATTTTTTATTTCTATTGCTACTTTTTTCTCTGTAGCATCAAGTTTTTTATCTATTTGTTTTACAATTTCATTTTTATCTTCTATTTTCTTTTCTAATTTTTTATAATTCTCTTCCATTTTTTTTATGTCTTCCCTCAATTCTTTTGAATTCTCTTCCATTGTCTTGTTCATCTTCATCATTAATGACATTGTCATGATGATGTCATTTGGATGTTGGCATTTGCTAGAAATTGCCTATTGAATAATAAAGGACAGGTGTGTCAACCGTCAACTTAAAACGATGTCTTGTTTTATTTCATTTATAATAATTAATTAATTAATACAAAATAAAGTAAGTAAGCACACAAATATTATATAGCGCAGTCATATTTCGATATCTTCGCACCCTAAGGAGAATTGATAAGTAATATTTTGAAAATTGTTATGTAATTGTAATTTCACATAACCTCCAAAATGAACGAGCACGTTGCTCCAGTAACAGAACTTTGTTTTGATGGTAATATGGCAGATAATTGGAGCTTTTTCGAACAAAAATTTAAAATATTTTTGGAAGCCAGCAAGCTTAATGAGGAGAACGACAGTTTGCAAGGCAGTGTGCTGTTGAATCGAATTGGAGACCGGGCTCTCTATATTTATAATAATTTCGAGTGGTCTTCAGATGAAAGTAAAACTTCTTGTAAAGTTATTCTAACAAAGTTTAAAGAGTACTTTACACCTTCCAAAAATGTCACATATGAACGATACTTATTTTTCACTCGAGACAAGATAGGGCTAGAGACATACGACTCATATGTAACAGAACTGAGACAGCTTGCAAGTACCTGTGAATTCGACACTCTAACTGACAGTTTAATATGTGATCGTCTAATCCTTGGAATCTCAGTAGAGGGATTACGAACACTCGATACGAATCGTATCCGCCATGTTTTTCCGAAGGGAGTGATTACGAACAACTTTCGTCACGTTTTCGTATCGACTCAACTGGAAGAAACCATACGATACCTACAGCGCTATCGAATCGCCAATTCGATGGTAGTGTCTCTTTTTAAATTTACTCTCTCTCTCTCTCACTCTTTCTTCTAAAATTCGAATCTATTTGTTCTGTAGACACTTGACAGCGACAACGTCATAATAAAAAATTCGTTAAAATAAAAATTTTGTTGGGTTTACCATTAACGTTTTTCTTCTCTACTTTTCTTACTTTACTTTATTATCATGTCTTTTAAATTAACAGAGAGTCATTGGAACGTACTTTTAGAGTTTATGGAGCAGCATAAAGAATTTGCAAAGGGACAGTTCTCTGGTCCCACTGGAAGAATAATTCAGAGAAAACTTTGGGAAGAACTTGCTCAATTATTAAATTCACTTGGCGAAGGAAGTAAGCCTGTTGAGAAATGGCAAAAGGTTAGATTAAATATATCAAAGTATGGTTTCTCCATTAATTATTTTTATGTATTTTTTTATTATAGACTTGGTCAGATATTAAATATTAAATCAAAAGGAAGGCCTCTGCGAAAAAGCAAGATATTGCAGTCACTGGTGGAGGGCCAAAAGTGAAGCCCGAACTAAACCAATTAGAGGAACGGGTTGTTAATATATTGGGAAAAACTTTTTATGAAGGAGTCAGTGTATCTGAGTGTGGAGTATGTATCAATCACATGTTTGTTATTTATTTATTAAGTATACTAAATATTCAAAAAATTTCAGATTCCGTCTACCAGTGAAGATGATTTCCTATCCACCTCTAAAGATGTTTCCCCCAGAATAGTTTGGAAGACACAGCTATCCATTTACCGGTATGTAACTACAATGTGGGATGTTCTGTATACCTACTTAAGTCATATTATTTCATTGATAAATTCTCAATATTTTTTCTAGGTTGCTTCTACAAGTAGTATTCAGACATCTAAATTTAAACATAAATCTATAGAGGTAAGCTCTGTACATGCACCTATACCAAGTCATCATGTAAATATTTTTTACAGGCTTCTGACCATGGATATTCTAAACTTCCCCATCCAAAAAAAAGGAAAATACAAGATGTTGAGAATGAGCTAATGCAGGAGAGCTTGACGGAATTAAGAGAAATTAAATTAGAGTTAAGGGAGCTTAACAAAAGCATGTCAAGCATTGCCAATTCATTAGTAGAACTAGTGGCAAAAAAATAAAATTATTTTTTGTTTAATTTCTGTTTTTATTTTTGCTTGGTATTCACCCAGGTTAACATTAATTTTGGCATTAATTCTATTTCTGACAGATATAAAGACTGCTTTACCATAGTTATAAAGAAAATATATTTGTTTCAGTTTTTATTTAATATTAGTATATACTTTGGTATATTATTTGTAGTTATAATATAGCAATTTTATTGATGACTATGTAGCATTTTGTAACAACAGTAACTCACCTGTTGACTGTTTAAATATATATATTTTTCAAGTTTTGGATTTCATTTATAAATATCATAGCCCAATATATTACTATACTCAATCACAATCAAGATGCAGTAGAAATAAACAAACTAAGGCACGTTAAATGTTACAAGGAGCACTCTGGAATAATTATTTACAATGTATATACATTGTATAATTCCCAAACCATGATTTACAAAGTTTATACATTGTAAATCATGATTCGGGAGTGTTCCTCGTAACATTTAAGTGTCTTGGTTTGTTTATTTATAGTGCATCTTCATTGTGAATTTAGTATAGGATGTGAAAATTTGGTGTGCACAGTGGATTTAATAAAACACAAGGTACTGTTAAGTACAGTAATTTTTTTGGTAAAATAATTTAATCAGTAAAATATCTATTTGCAATGCCATTTCTAACTAAAATCCCATCTCTAACGGTGGAGGTGCTGGAATATTATTTGCACCATCATTGGCATCAATTATATTGGGTGCATCAATATTATTGTCAATGCACATATTGTGCAATGTAGCACAAACTTTTGTTAGCCTGCATACAAACTGTGGCTCGTATCTTGAGCTTCTCTCTTTCAACAAACATCGAAATCGGACTTTCAACAGCCCAATACACCGCTCAACACAATTCCTGGCACGCATGTGTGCTTGATTAAAACGTGCTTGGGGTGTCCCATCCACAACATCTCTGAAAGGAGTGATTAATATTGGGCTCAGAGGATACCCTGAATCTCCTAAAAGCCACCCAGGCTCTCTATTTGCATGGATTCTCTCCAAATAATTTTTAACTTCGGATCTACTCCAAATATATGAATCATGACTGGAGCCTCCAAAATTTGCAAATATATTTATTATTCTTAGATTACTGTCACAAATAATCTGTGAATTAATGGAGTGGAATCCTATAAAATAAAAAGTATGGATGAAAGTTTATACATTAATATAATTAAACTTTATGAAATTACCTTTCCTGTTTATAAAATTTTGCTCATCCTGACGAGGCTTTAATATGGCTATGTGTGTGCCATCAATTGCGCCTATGGTACCAGGGAACCCAAATTTATTCATGAAATCCATTTTCATTTGGTTTCACATGGCAGGATTATTGGGGAACAACATGTTGCTCCAATAACCCTGTCACTTCATGAATTATGAAATGAACTTTGGATTGACTAAGTCCAAAATTCAATTCCTCACCCACACCTCTTTGGTAAGAGCCAGTTGCATAATATCTTAAAGAAAGTAAAACTTTTCTTTCTATATTAACGCCTCTTCTTGACCTAGGCGCCTCTATGTACGGCCGTAATTGTTCTATTAAATGCCTTGCCATGTTTTTATTAAGCCTAAATAATTCTACAAATCTGAACTCTGGTAAATCGAATGGTTCGCTTTCCATTCTAATATATTGCCGATGCAAAATAAGTCTTCTATTTTCATCTCTCCTTCGCCTTCTTTGTAAAATAAACATTGGTAACATCTACAAAAACATTCAATAATTATCAACATAATATAATGCTGTATTTACAGTAGAAAAATAAATACATACTTTGATTTCTTCAATTTAAAATAATTTAAATTATAATATAAATTTAAATTATTCTTCTTCTTTTTTCGTTTTATGGCCTCCACCTCTTAGGTACATGGCCAGCTTATGTATATATTTTTATTTCAATTATAGAAGGGAATTCTCCTCACAGAGATTCTGGAAATAACCATATTCCCTTCAACTATTTTGGACAATTTATAGTGGATATTCTAAAATAATTCTATATGTCATTAATGATATAGATTTTTCTTGTTTCATCTATTAAGCTATGTAATACGGGCTTTACACCAACAATAAATTCATGAAGAAATTCGTGAAGTCGCTTCAAGGTCAAATTTGACCGGTGTAAACTGTAAAGCACAATTTGACATCCAATTTTGCCGTGAATAAATTCATGAATAACTTCGTGAAGAAATTGACGAAATAGAACATGTTCTATTTTTCTCATTTATTAGACGTGAATTCAGTATCACCAACCTGTGTAGATTTGGCGCGAAGTAGGGATAATAATTATTTTGTTTTTGATTATTGAACCAAATTGAACTTTGCATTTTTAAGTCGTGTGTCAAGTAATAAGTAATAGTTACGGAAAAGAGGTAAAAAGGAAAAGACAGAAAATAATATTATGTATTTTTTTTAGGAAAAACATAAAATTTCGAGGCAGAAAACTCTAGTTTATATTAAAATATTGTTTACTTTTCCCTTTCTTACATGTTTTTTTTTCAAATATTATTTATTTAACGCTTTTAGGATATATAGTAAATATTTGTTAATAAAAGATTATATAATTCTACCTTTTTCTTCACTCCTATCTTTTACTTGGTCTAGTCGAAAGTTTAAAAATGGATTAATCAACGTTTTCCAAGAGATATGGATGCTATTTATTTCTGAAACAGGAAAGGATGGTTTTCTTTGAAATGCAGGTATTATAAGATTGCAAAATGAAAAGTATGGAGTGATATAGTACCTTGTCACATTCGCTCATGATTCTCAAAAACAGCAACTTTCAAAAAAAAAAGAATTTAGACATTTTAAATTCTGATAATTTGGTGATTCTGGATATATTTTCCTGTTGAACCAGGTATGAATAATATTGTACTTATTATTAATAGGATTTTTAAATTGAGTCCACTCATCTATTTTTTTGAACCAGGTATGAATAATTCTATATTATTGATTAGATTTTAAATTCACATTCAGACTGTCCACTAAAACAATTCACTAAGATATCCTGAAATTTTATGCAATGAATTCCAGATATTTAACAGAGTGTGTATGGAAGAAGAAAGTTTCAAATTTTAGCCAATGAAAGTGGCTGTATCCCAAACAGCACAGTACGTTTTAAGTACGTACAATTTTGGTACTGTACGTACATGATGTAAAATGTACGTTTTAAGTACGTACATACCAGTACGTACTTATTACGTCTTAAGTATGTACATACCAGTACGTACAGAAGAGTACGTACTTATTACGTCTCAAGTATGTACCAAGAGAAATAAGAGTTAAAGCATATTTATTATGTTAGGTTATGTTAACGTAACCTAATTTATTTAGTTAGGAAATTTTACACCTCGAGTACAGTTGTGATATGGTTGTGATGTGATAATTCATTGCAAGACAGTTTCATTTAGATTTTTTTTACTTATTTTGGTGTTTGGTGCTTGTGGTTTCCTGTTATTTTATTCAGTCGAGTGTTTTTGTGTCAAAAATGTAGTGATAAGAAAGTGCGGAGCAAGAAATTGGACGATGGTTGAAGAGAGTCGGGGATCGCTTAAAAACTTTTTTTTTATTTTTAAAAGAATAAAAATTGAATTTATTTAAAAAAAAAATAAAAATACATTCACCTATATTTACTTTTATTTACATAAATCATCATAAGTGTGTATAGTATGTACATAATATATATATAATATATATATATATATTATATATATATATATATATATATATATATATATATATATATATATATATATATATATATTATTGTAAAAACTACGACCGTCAATTTATATTAATAAAGTATTCAACTAGTGAATTCAGAGGTTTATTCGGTCAGTCAGGTTGGCAAAATAAAAAACAGAAGTCAACTACTTCATAAGTTTATCGAAGACGTTTCGCTTTATATATCTAAAGCTTCATCAGTTCTCTAAAATACAAAGATGACATAGAGTTTATAAGAAATACAGATCTAAAATTAATTACTTACAACTCAATATGTAGTATTAAAGATTTATCGTATATGTACTTAAGTTTACTCATAAATTTAGAACTAACTTAAAAAAAAATTAAACAGAAATATGCAAAAAATAACATTCGCAGAAACGAAGATTTACAAAAACTTCAAACGTACATTTGGCTTCATTTAGAGATGGTTCTCCAATGAAGACAAACAAAACACTGATTTATTGCAATCTACGCAAAACGACGTGGCGCGATACCGAAAATGTTTTTCAAGGGCCATATGTTTTCAACAAATTCCAAGGTTTGAGACAATTATGAACTTCTACGGGGGTCATTGAAAGAATAGTTGGACGGGTGGATTTGTAACGGAAAAATTTGATATGATTTTTTTTTTTTTGTAATTTATGTTTTAATGAAACTTAGAGCTTTGGGATGATTATGTTATTGTTTTTGAATGGAAAATCCGGCTATTTTAAATTATGAATATTGGTATTATTTATTTCGTAAGATGAGAGAGTGGTAAACCTGGCTCAAATTGTCAATGTCGGTTCTTTTGTTTATTGCAGATGGGTTTTTTAGGATCTCACACATTTCAATAAAGGAGCGTTTTTGATGGTTATTTGTTTGGCCAGTATTTTAGTATTTGAGAAGTCAATGTGATGTTTGGTGGAAATGGCGTGTTGTGCAAGGGCACAAGAGGGTTTGGAAAGTCTAATGTCGCTTTTATGTGAAGTTATACGCCCTAGAAGTGAACGACTGGTTTGGCCAATGTAGCAGGAATTGCATTCAGAACAGGGGATTTGATAGACAACATTAGTGTGCTCTAACGAGCTTAGTGGAGTTTTGGACTTGGAGAATAACTTTCCAATAGTTTTAGTGTTTTTTAGGGATATTTTGACGGTAAGTTTTTGAATAGTTTCGTAAGCTTGTTCGTAACTTGTGGGAAATATGGAAGAGAAGCATATTTAGTGGCTGGTTTCGGGGTTAGCGGGGAATTGTCAGTCTGTAAG